GCAATTAATGATGTAACGATGAGTGTCCCGAATTAATTGCGAGTAACTAAATATATCTGCATATAGCAGTCGTTCAATAAATGTTACATGATAAATAATTAAATATATATACATATATATGTATGGGTATATATAGAGTTAGAACATAAATCTAATTAATCATTCGAGGACGTCAATCAAATTTCTAAACAATTCGCTAACATTAGAGAAAGATATTTCCTAAATGGAGATATTGAAGATTAGATAAACATTATCTCTGTAATTATTCGCTTGTATATTGTTGCAAAAAAAAAATCCTTTTTTCATTTTTTTCTTCTTTTTTTTTTTTTTTTTTTTTTTTAATAGCTTTCTATATGTTTCATGCTTACGATGATCAGATCGAAAATATGGTGGATGAATCGAGTATCTTAGATGAAAACAACTGGCTAAAAGGAGTCCATTTTGCAAAATGAGTTTAGTCCAGTTTTACCTTAAGAGAGAAAAGGAGAGAGGAAGAGAAAGGCGGGTAAAAAGGATAAGGGTCGATCTGACAAGGGTACGTACCCTATATTGGCAGGCGTGGCTGCGGATTGCAGGGTGCAAGAGGGAGGAACGCTGATTGGTTCTTTTTCAAGCAGATCGAGACGCATATAGAACTTCCCTTTGGCTCTCGTGGTCACGAAAACCCGTCGACGGTAACAAAAAGGGAATATCCCCCTAAATAGAAGAACCCATCTTGATCCTTTATTCACGCAGCACTATGCCTTAATAAAATGCGCATTTATACGAGCCTTTCGCGTCCCAATATTGCGTTCGAATAGATCCAAGAGGAAAATTAAATAAGAGTTCACCCAACGTTGTCCCTGTTGTCCCTTTAAACTCATCGTTTTCATCTACATCAATGTTCTCTATCCTACATATATTATATCTTTTATAATATATAACAAATAAATATACCGATGAACCAAGTTGCACGGCTATATTCTAGAAAAGTATATATCAAAATTGAAGGACCAATCATTGATAACAATAAATATTTGAATCATAAAAAGAGATCGATCCTCATTTATAGAATAAAGTCGAAGAACTGAAATAAAAGAGAGAGAGAGAGAGAGAAAGAGAGAAAGAGAGAGAAAGAGATAAAGAGAAAGAAAAAGAGTAGTGAAGAGATAACAAAAAAGATTTTAAGTCAGAAATCATCGACGTGTGCCAGCGGAACGATCGATCCTCTATCGATCGGTCTTCGATCAAGCATCGTCGAAGGAGGTGGGCTTGGTTGATCGTTCGAGAGAGTCTATACGAACGTGACGATAACCGGTGAGCGCATCGATGTCCGAGTCGAAGCCGGACGACGAATGGCTAGTACGAGATGAAACCTACGAGTTATAATAATCCGTGATAGCAACGGTGGCGATGTCGGTGGAGCGGAGGAACGGGCGTCCTGTCACAAAGGCATGCGCCACCCACCTCGACCTGGACGCTCACATCGTTAATCAACTGCAGCGCGGGACCCTAACTTTCGAGTTACCAATCCACAGGTACAGCCTTTGCCTCCTTCCACCTTCCATATCCTCGATATCTTCTATCGTGAATGTGTGCATGTGTGCGTGCATGTAAATATGTACAACCAACGTTCTGAATACGTACTTTAAAGTTTCACTTCATGAAAATCGAGAACGAATTCGAGATCGTTAGATCTTTAAATGATCTTGGTACTCTACTTTCGTACTGGATTCTATCGTACTTGAATGCTCTAGACAATTTAAAAGACACTTCTTTCAGGATACTTTTTTTCTCAAACGATCATTCTTACATAAGATAATGATGATCTAAAGATAAGTTAGGATTGTTTTTTTTTTTTCAAAATAGAACAATATATCGATATAGAGATATCTGTCAGAAAGGATTTTAATAATCCCATGTTCGATGATAATTATTTATACAGGCATCTAAAAAAAATTCGTAAAACCCTTTTGTAACGAAGACGATTTGATTTTTCGTTTTGAAGCCACGCGAAAAGTCGAGGAGAAAGCTTTTGAAAATCTATTATTACTTCATAGAAAGGGCTTATATCGTACTCCGATAGAATACATAGAAAGAAATGCCTCCTTTCCGTGCTTTTTTCGTGAAAGTAGAGAAAGAGTAAAAAAGAGAAAGAGAAAGAGAGAGAGAGAGAGAGAGAGAGAAAGAAATGGAGGGGTAAAAGAGGATGGTGGTTCCTTTTCTATGGTGGCACCCCTCTATGATATTCCCGAATAGCCTGCGCCCTCCTACGGATGGGGAAACGCAGAAGGGTCTGGAAAGGCAGAAGGAGATTGGGGAATTGGGGTGAGGGGTAGAAACGAAGCAAGCCTTCCTTTTCTGTCCTCCCTGCAACCCTCTTTCTCTCCCCCACGTAACGCTTCGAGGTTGGCGTTGCCGAAGGAAGCCGACGTAACAGGAACGAAAACTGGGAGAGAGAAGTGCAGAGAGTCGGAAAAGAGCGGCCGTGTGCTCGCGCGCACATCGCAGAGAGAGAAAGAGAGAGAACGTAAGAGAAAGAGAGAGAGAGAGAGAGAGAGAGAAAGAGAGAAAGAGAAAGAGAGAGAGAGAAAGAGAGAGAGAGAGAGAGAGAGAGAGAGAGAGAAAGAGCTATGCCAGGGCTGCTGCTAGTCAAACCAAAACTTGGCATGATTAATGATCGCGAGAGCCAGAGCGCTGCTTCAAACAACAAACTTTTCCCAAGGAACGGCGGAGAATACAAGAAAAAATATATAAGAAAGAGGGAACTCTCTTTCTTCGCATCCACCCTTCAGACCGGCTAATACCCTCCGAGCTCTTTCTCTCTTCTTTCTCTCCTTTCCTCTGACAGCCTTTCATTTCTTTTCTCCTTTCTTCCATTCTCCCTTTCTTTCTCTTTCTTCTTCTCCTTCCTTCTATCTCTTTCTTTTTCTCTTTCTCTTTCTCTTTCTCTTTCTCCTTCTCTTTTTCTCTTTCTCTCATTCTCTCAACCCCACTACTATCCCACCTTCGCGCATCTTCCTACACATTGCATTCTCTCTTCATTCTTTTCTCCATCCTCTTCCTTCTTCCCTTTCGTTCGATAACTCATACCTCTCATGTTCATCATCTTCCTCGTTCTCCTTCCTTCGATAGATCATACTTTCTTGTTCTTATTATTTCTTTTTCTTCCTTTTTTTCCCCTCTTCGTGGTCGGCCTCCTTCATCTACACGTAACAAGACCGAAGAGATAATACCGGGTGGCCCTGCCATGTGAATTTGTTTAAAACCACGAACGTATAATTATCTTCAGATTTCATTTCGTTCATTACAAATAAAACTAAATGTTATAATATTATTGATCATTAAACGGTGAAAATTCTTGATTGAGGAACGATTCGGTTCTTGCTGTTGAGAAATGCGATTATGTAATGTCAAACTTTATATATACACACACACACACACACATACACATTATATATATATATATATATATATGTATATATATATATATTATTGTAATATGTATAATATATACAGAAACTTTGGTATTTCTTTTATTTATTATTCTTTTGGTTGGTATAATTTTTATAGCAATTTTTTTACTTACATACATTTTCTCATGCTCTCCCGAGCTTTCTACTTTCACTTCGCGAGAACTCGTCGTATTTCTTTTTCGACACGTCTTTTCGTTCATATAAGTCGACAATTTTAATTTCGTCGCGGTAGAAATATTTCTTTGCCACGCATACGAGTTATCATATCGTCATTGATAATGTATTCGTCGGGAAGTTCAAGCTTTGCTACGATATGCCATGTGCGTCATTACAAAACGAAAATTAATGAGAATGAATCTCTAATATCGTTTATGCGCGATCTAATTCTTACCTAACATAATGGATATCCAGTTAGGTAACTTTAGATATTCTGATATCTATTAATTCACGAAGTATATGTATTTAATCGAATTAAATTAATTTATTTTCTTTCTCTATCTGTTACCTTTAGAAATTATATGATGACTATAAAGTCTTAAAACTTTATGATGAATTGACTTTTAAATGATAAAAGAACAGCGATGTGACAGAGCAATCGAAAGGGATCAAAGAAACGATTAACTGCCTTTAATAATAAGTTCATTCTAATTATTGAGTATTACCTACTCTAAGCACCGTTCAAGCATTCGTAGCTTAGGGCTCGAACTGGAAGTCTAGACTTTCGGTGAAATATGCTTGGTCATCATCATCCGTAGTACGTTCGACGCTCTTACGGTTACTTTCTCCGTTCGTTCTACTGCTCTTGCTTCTCCTTTCTCTTGCATCTCTCTTTCTCTCTTTCTCTCTATCTCTCTCTCTCTCTCTCTTTTCTTCTCTTTCTTATCCTCGCTCTTCCAGGTTTATTCGCTTGGAACGAGATATGATAACGATCCTCAAAGTTATTTGCAATCAATAGTGGCCGTCACCAATCGAATATCCATGACCGAGATCAATTTTCTCGACTTTCGTTATTTCATTAATTGCATTAGGCAAGATATCCAATTACGTAAGTCAATAAATATACCATTGGGCAAACATTTTTACGAGCAATAATATTTTTCGAGACTCGTTCATTGCAGTAGTACAGCTTCCCACTCATAAGTCGATATATACGTAATACCATCGTAATAACTATAATTATGTGTCCATATTTTATTATATACGAATACCTTCGTATTTAGCACGAATTTTCTCGTAGGTAGACAAGTTTCGTACTACTAATGACTATAAATATTTTTTAGACTTTTGTATTCTTTTATTTCTCTCTCATTCTCTCATTCTCTCTCTCTCTCTCTCTCTCTCTCTCTCTCTCTTTATCTCTAACTAACCTCAGTCCATACTACTTAACACGAAAAAAAATTCTTACCATCCATCATGTGTAACAACACGATAATTTTAAAGTACAAGCAACATATAGGTACCTACTTCCTTGTAAAATAAAAGTAAAATTATAAAAAGACATGACCTGGTCGATAGACATATGTAGGCTTTACCTGCTACGAGAAACTCGTCCGTTTCGAATGTACCGTGACTACTTAAAAGAAACGATTTTTAAAACGCGTCCCCTTTCGTCTTATTCGTTGACCCTTCGAATAGGAAAAAAAGAAAGAAAGAAAGAAAGAGAGAAAGAAAAAAAAAAAGAAGAAAAAAAGAAAAAAGGCAGTCTTGCCTCCTGGTTTTCTGGGGAGCCGTCGGTCGGCATCGCGTATCGACGAAGCGCATGTATAACAGAGTTCCCGATAATAATGGTACTTATTATGCCGCTACCATTTGCGGCCGATTCACCTGATGAGGACCATTCTCGTAGAGATAACGTTCAGGCAGTGCTGGAACCATAATCAACCGGTCGTCCAGGGCGGCTTGGATCTAAGTGACTCTCAAAAGGTATACCCTTTTCTCAGGAGTCTCCTCTCTCTCTCTCTCTCTCTCTTTCTTGCACTCCCTCTTTTCACCTCTTTCTCGATGGCTCATTCTACTTCCACTTGGCGATTCGGTAAGGCTCTGAAAAGTAAGAAGCACGGTCGGCAAGCTACGACGAGGCGCACGCCGTACGATGACTAATGGCAGACACCGTAAGTCACTTCACAAATTGAATTAAACGCGACTCCGAAACCGTGACGCGGCGCAAACAATCAGCGGACTATTCATCGTATGGCCTGTAGGAAGGCAGAGGAAAGCTCGAATCATTGTCTTCACCGCGGAAATCGAGATTCCTCGACGTTCGAGCTTCTTATTCTTGTTCTTATTATTCTTCTTCTTCCTCCCCATCCTCTTATTCTTATTATTCTTCGTTGTCTTCTTCTTCTTCTTCTTCTTCTTTGTCGTACGAACGAGTTACAAATTAAATAAGATAATGTACTACTTGACACATTATCAGAGTTATTAATTGCGGTCTCCCTGTGTAAACACGGTAACCAGCGAACATGGATCAAATACAAGCAACAAGAAGAAGAAGAAGAAGAAGAGGAAGAGGAAGAAGTAGAAGAAGAAGAAGAAGAAAAAGAGCAGTCGGCTTCGTTGAGAATGATAATTATCAGGCATATTAATTGACGTCCTTCCGGAACTTAATTTCATTCTGTCCCTCTCTTTCTCTCTCTCTCTCTCTCTCTCTCTTTCTCTCTCTTTACGAACAAAATCCTCGACAACGTTTTAGTCTTTATAGAGATTTTCTGAGAATTCTGTTCTAGTTAAGTCTTTTAAGATCATTAGCCAAGTATTATAATTACAATGAAAGCTTTATTGTATTCGAAAATGAACGACGAATAAGATAATAAAAATATTCATCATTTTAATCTCTATTATATGTATGTTTGAGAGGAATCGTACTATTTCTAGCAATAAAAAAATTAAAAAATTAGAAACTTCTTAAAGGTTGGAAATTACTATAATTTGTATGAGGCTGTACGTATGTATGTACGTACATAAATATATATATATATATATATATATATATATATATCGCTTGATATGGATCTACCTTACAATAAGAATATTTTTACGCCCGTTAATCGTGCTCGATCTTCCGTCTAGCGGCGATCGATGATATATTAGAAGGTACGAAATGTTTCAGTACACCTACAATGCCTCGTGGACGGCCGATCCATCGTCAATGAACACGGGGATTACACTGCTAAATGAGATTCCAGCGGCAAAATCAAAGTGGCAGCAGGTGGCCAGGGCCACGGCCATCTTCCCCGCGGGATACGCCTTGGTGCCTGCATCGTTCTCGCATCTTCCGAAGACGCGCACCGTTCTTCTACCGCCATATTGCCGGAGAATGGCGGCTTCACTATTTTCTTTCACTATATTTTCACGTTGTAAACGTTAGATCTCTTTCGAGGATCTCTTCGAACTATCTTTTACAATATCTATTTATATAACAGATGATATCAAATGTAAAAATTGAAAGTTTATTTTTATTAAAAAAAGAAAAAAAAAGGAAAACAAAGAAAAGAAAAGAAAAGAAAAGAAAAAAAGGAAAAAGTAAAAATGTTTAACAATGATTAATTTTTAATATCGAAATTATCTGCTGCTAAGTATTTGTTTTTGAGTGATGTATATCTAGTTTCATTGATATTATTGAAGATATTTTTTTTTTTATACGAGAAAAAATAGTTCAAGAAGATATGATTGATGAGTAATTAAATAAGTAATTTTTTTTCTAAACGCACGTCTACGATATTTCGAAATGAAAATTCTTTTCATCGTTGTTTTTCGATCGATGCAATTATTATACTTTCATATTTTCCCGAGGACATCGACATTTTTTTCGTCCGACATTAGTAATTATTTTTCCACATGACCGAAGCGGTGGACTTCTAACAGGCAAGAGGGCTGGACCGGATTGCGCCTTCAGCTGCTCAGAAGTGGCGTGGCAACCGGCGGAACCATTTTAACAGTTTCGACCATTTTCCCATTTTCTTCGTCTTTCGGATTTCGTGGACAGATATTAATCGTGTTGGACGATCATTTTTTAAAGGAAAAGAAAAGTTGGTAAATCTACCACAGATGTTAGTAAAAATCGCTACGGACGTAGATTTCTTTGGAGAGGGCGAGGACGTAGAACTGCTTCTTTATAATCTCTACTTTTTCGTCAATCAGCACAGTTTCTTTATTTCTACTTTATCATAAACAAGATATATATATATATATATGATATTGTATTTGAAAATATATTCAAAATCCATGTTTCAAAGGCTTCTAAGATAATATTTATTTATTCTCCCATTCTTACCTTACAACTCCTCAAAAAAATGCAGCGCTATCTTTTCTTGCTGTTTATCAATTTTTATTACGAAATTTTCGCTATCAAACTGGTCAAAAAAGAAAAAAAATTTCCCCTTCCCTTAAAGAAATAATAACGATCGCATCGTCGCCATATCGACGATGCGATGATAGCTACGATGTGAAGAAGATAGGCGTGAGTGCGCGTAAACTCGGCAAGCAATCTCAACGAGAAGGATCGAAAGGATTAACTGAAAACTGCATACGTGTCCGCAGATAGAGGACACGGGAGGACAAACAGCGTAAACTGGCTCCTCTTTGGGATACGACGAGCTAGTAAGAGCGAGTCATCATTAATATTATAGCTCAGGGGCGCTCATCTCTAGCTTCGTTCTCTCCTTCTTATTCGATACGAGATTCATTATGAGATTTAATATCATCATATTATGATTGCATCTTTACTTTTATAATCGTATTTACTTATCTACAATTATATTTCTTTTTATTATTCATAAAAATTTATTTCGATAGTAAATTCTAATATAGTTGATTCACTAATAAAAGTAATGAATATAATTAATTAATCCTTTTATTAAGTAAACTTCTACGAGTCTTATAACACTTTTCGAGCATCCAACTATTTTCCTAAAGATATTTGATTAAATCTTATCTTTCATTTCATTGGCTATTATATCTTCTGGATGTTCACAGTGCTTGTCCCTAATATAATAAACGTTGTTTCCTTCTCTCGAATCTGGACCTACGGCACGGACATCATTCCGATTCTTCGTTCACCTTCATCCACGAACGAGATTCATTATTTATCTCCGATGCATCCAGAGGTCGAAAATTGATGAACGTTAAGGTGGTCCTCGAAAAAGAAGAAGAAAAAAAGAATTAAAAAAAAAAAAGAAAAGAAAAAAAGAAAAGAAAAAGAAAAAGAAAAAGAAAAGAGTGTTATCTAGTTCTACGGGTTATGACAAAGGAAACGGCCTACTTTCCTTGAATGAGAAAGAGAAAGAAAAAAAAGTATTGGGTCTAGCGGTGGAGGAGGTGTAAAACTCAGCTGATCGCGTCCGGTTTGCGGTCGAACTCCTTCTTACATCGTACTAATTATATCGATAATGATTTATAACTACTACATATTTCTTGTATCCCTTTATTGGATTTTTTTTTCTTGCTTTCCTTTTTTCCTTTCTTTTCATTTCATTTCATTTCTTTTTTTCTCTCTTTCTCTCTTTCTCTCTCTCTCTCTTTTTATCTTTACACCCAACTACCCTTTCTTCGTCTCTTTCTTTCCTTCCGATTCTAACGCGTGGCTATCCGATTAGTTTTCGTAAATTACATCGTTCTATATTCACGCGCTATACCAATGATTGATGAATCCGGCCGATTAACATTCCAGCTTGACACGCGGCTCTCATTAGTCCCTGACTTTATACCGCATCTTAAGAATACGAATCTTTAACTGTTTTATTAATAGCACATGCATAAACTTTCCCTATCGAGAAGGGAAGAGAGAGAGGGGAATGGTATTAGATAAGTATTATTTGTAATAATGTTTAATCATTTACTCGTTAGTACTGATTGTTAAAGACGTTGAGAACGATAAGCCGATATACGGTGTGTTTGATTTTAATCGACAGATACAATTGAAATCTTGTGACTGTGACGTTCAATCAAATTTTAAATATTTATACCAAGGATATTGTATTATTTAAATGTATATATGTATATATATACACACACACACATATATATATATATATAATATATATGTATATGTATTTTAAATTAATGGACGATTTTTTCGAGAAGAAGTGTCAACTTGAGGGAAAGAATATAAAAATCTAATAGCAATAGATTTTATATGAAAAAAAAAGAAATAAATAAATATATAAAAAGGAAAGAAAAGAAAAGAAAAGAAAAATTTCCATGTTCTTATAGGTTTTTTCCTCTTATATTGTCAGGAAAAGGCAGGGAATTCGATTATCGAAGGTAAAACGACGCGATTAGGCGTCGTCACGCAAGAAAGGTGCCGCCACATAAAGAGAGATAAATTCGATCTCATTTATATCTGAAATGTATGGAAAAGAATGTCGCGGAGAGACGTATACGAGGTAGAAAGTTAAGAGGAAGGGTCGTTTCGGCCGATCAAGCCGTAGTTAAGCGTCGTCACGTCAAGAAGCTGACGAAAACGAAGGGAGTAGTGTGATAGGATGAGAAGGAAGGGGTAGAGAGATGGAGTCTGGTAAAACGAGCTTCGTTGAACGAGCCCTTTAACATAAACAGTACATCCAGCGGCGAATTCGCGCCTCCATGTGACTGATGGCACCTCCTCGATCACCTGACGAACTCGGTGACTTTGGTATAACTATATATATATATATATACATACGTATAACTTTGGTATAACTATGTATATATATATATGTATATGTTACCACGTATAGAAGTATAGGCTATGCAAAGGCACGTCCAATACAAATCATGCTAATTCCGTATATGCCGCTCGTCTCGAAAAGAATATTCTCTGGTGTCAGCGGTCTCTCTTATTCAGGGACGTCCACCTCCGTCTACAATGACTGACTCTGTCAGTGAGTCGTCAAAGAGCTCTCCCCTTCCACTCGACAAAAAGAAACAAACGAACTTCGTTAATTTATTTTTCTATCGAGTTTTATTATCCCTTAGGAAACCCTTATTAATGTTTCTGAATTAGACTCGTTAGTTAGATTGTAAAGAAGGAAGATGTTCGTAATTGAGATATTTTTCTTCTACAAATTATTTTTATAAACAAATAAATTCCATTAGAGAAATCTTTTCTCTCTCTCTCTCTCTCTCTCTCTCTCTCTACGATGCACTAAAAGAATATCTAAATGTTTATTGTTTATAATTATATAGTATAAGATTATTCATACAAAGAACTACTCAAAGTTCTATATATTATGACTACAAATTTTTTTATTCTTTCCTATTCCGATCTTCCATGTTTTTCGTTTTCATTTAAATAAAAAGACGACGAGAAATATATTGCGAGACTGTGAGATACTCTTTTACCCTACGCCTTCGAATCTGATTATCAATGGAGACGATACGACGAAGGCTAACCCTTTCACCGCGGGACTCCAGAGAGACTACGACATAAAAGGATTCTAAAAATATATCGGTAGGCTTCTCGGCACTGGGTCTATGCAAAAATGGATTTCCGTTCTCCCAACGTCAGTTAGGATTATAAAATCATTGAAAAATTAATATCTCAAGTTGAAATACTTGTTATTAATTTCTTTTCTTCTATGACGATCGAAGAACAAACAAAATTATAAATAATTAAATATGACAAAATACTTCATAATTGAATAAATATAAAAGAAAATGAAAATCAATTAACGAAGATTAGACAACAACGGATAATAATAGTTTCGAACTTCGTGCCACTTAACAAAAGCTGAAGAAGATCAGCAACGATCGCTGAAGATCGACGTACCTAACGAAGGCACAATAAATGAACCTGTATGGCACACTATAACTTTGACGATATTCTATCCACGAGTTCTCAATCCATCACACCACAAAGTTTGATCCAGTTTCCCGAACACTTCTCTCCTCGAAGTCTTTCTAACAAGGGGCATATATCTAAGGAAAAAAAAAAAAAAAGAAAAAAAAAGGAAGAGAGAAAAAAGCAAAAAAAAAAAAAGAAAAAAAGAAAAGAAAAGAGGAAAAAACAAAGAAAAAGAAAAAGGGGACAAGAAGAGAGACGGCAAAAATCGATAACTGGCGTACCACCACCATTGAAAGAATCCAAAATACTTTTTTTTTCCTTATACCTATCCAGTTATGAATATAAAACTTTTTGAAGAGTTGGCACGATCGATCGAATTCTCATCCTCGAGGTGATCGCAAGAGTAGCTTAGAAAAGTCTTAGAAAAGGCCTTCGTATCGTCGTAAGAAAATAAAGAAAGAGAAATAGAAAGAGAAATAAGAAGAAATCATTCCCCACGGTTTCCTCGTGAAGTAAAACGTGCGAACGATTTCCCCTCTCTTTACTCTCCTCTCCATTCCGCTATACCCCACCACTTGGAACATACTCCTGTTACCCCTCTTACTCGCTCTATCGTTATCTCTCTCTCTCTCTCTCTCTCTCTCTCTATGTCTGT